AAGATCTAGGGGAGCTTCTACTTTCCTTGCTTGTGATTTTTATTGACTTGAGTTAGTTGAGCATGCGTGACCCATTCCTCTTTACCCCTAGTTCATATAGCATTTTTGGTCATCGAGGGCGATGCCAAAGTTTAAGTGTGGAGGAGTGGATTTGACTTTCGGGCAGTAGTTGTTACGTGAGATTACTAGTGTTAGCATGCGCAAGTGTTAATTGTATATTTATGGAAAAGTCATGTCAAAATTTTTGTAAATTTTTTATTTAAATTGTTTCTTTGTGAGCTGGTTAGAGTGTGAATGTGCTTTTTAAATGTTTTTGAATTTTTTGGCTTAAATTGCTCACACATTTAATCTAGTTGTTGAGATGAAGAAGACATTAGTTACCCATTTAATTCAATTTTTTTACTTCCCATCCCGCCTGAATAAGCCCTTTAGGAGAAGCCTTTTTAGCCTGATCTTTCTGTTCTTTTACCCATAAATTGAGCTCTATTGCCAAATAGCTTGTGTTCCTACATACCCATGAATAATTCTGACAGTATCTTGGTGTTTAGAGTGCTAGGGGATTAATTTGCTAAGTTTAGGGAGTTTTGTTGGAGCCAATTTTGGCACTGTTCCTACGTCCCAATGGGGTAAGAGCAGTCACTTTATATGAATTTGATATTTTTGAGGATTGTATTTTAGGCATGGATTCGCCTGTCTAATGAACATTAATTGCTAATTTTCATTGGTGAGGTCGAGATTAGAATGAGGTAATGTCTAGTGAAAAATCTAAAAAAATGAAAAAAATTAATTAATATAGCTAGACCTCTTACCTTGCAAAAAAGAGAATGGGAAATCTGGTTAAAAGCGTAAGTGCTCTGCACAATAAGATGATACTTGAGAATCTTTCGAAAAAAATGGCGTTCTCGTGCCAACATGACAAGGGAAAATAAATTGATTAAATTGGATTTGAAGGCTTTTGCGAATCTGACATTAGTCCTTCGCGTACTTCAAGTATACGTCAAAGCATCAATGTGCACCAACGGTTTAGCTTAGTGGTACACTGTGTCTACTTCCTACATAGAGATAGATGATAGTCCCTATTTAGTGTCTTACTAAATTCCTTGATCCTAAGAATAGCCCCGAAACTCCCGAATGCATTGAGTCGCTGTTAGATTATTCCAAACTCTCAAAGAAAGGGACTTTTTGACCATTCACCACCACCTTCACAAGTCCTTCTCATCAGGAGCAAGATTAATTGTGTATGCTGCTTTAACTTCAAGGATGTTGTGATTGATTTTGTCAGTAATTTTAACCAGTATACAAAGAGGTAGTTTAGGGGAAAAAATTCTTAATTTAATCTGTCTTTTAATTTCTGTGAGTATCCCTTTAACTACTTGTGCATGCTGGTGGTTTTTAATGTCATGTGGTGATTATTGTAAGTCCTGAAGTTCAGTTTGCTTGAACACAAGGAAAAACTTAAGTGTGGGGGGATTTGATAAGTCTGTATTTCAACATGCATTTGATGCGTGTTGAGATCAACTTTTGATAGTTTTCCTAGCTTAAATGTGACACAAGGCTCATAATTAGCTCAAGCAATGTTTTACCGGGTCTTGGTGTGTTTTTGGTATTTTTAGAGTCAAATTCAGGGAATTAAGCCCGACACCGGCATTTGAGAAGTTATCGAGAAGAGTTGAGACACATTTGAGAATTGATTAAGAGCATTGGAGGTTGACGAGTTGTTAAAGACAAGGTTTGAAGTCAAAAGAGCCAAAGAATTGAGCATTGGAGCAATCGCGCGCAAAAAGGGGTGAAAACGGCCAAAAAGTCAAGTTGGAAGGTCCGCACGCCAAGCGGACAGGCCCCGCACGCTGAGCGGGGGTGGCAGAAGTTCATAAATTTGGACGTTAAACCCGCACGCCACGCGACCTTTCCCGCATGTCGTGCGGGATGAATTCGTGATCACTGGAAGGCCCGCTCGCCAAGCAGACTTAACCCGCATGCCGAGCGGGCGAATTTTTACGGAAAACCTTCGATAGACCTGCATGCCTAGCGGACTTAACCCGCACACTGAGCGGGCACCCCTGCAGTCCTAGTTCGACCCGAATTGATCTGTTTTCTATTAAAACAGTCAGTGAACCCCTTTTTACGAGAACACGGCCTAAAGAGAGGCCTAGGACGAATTTTCCATTGCTTTTCCGCTTTGTTATTCAAGACCCCAAGATTATTTATAAGTTCCATCTTTTTAATTAATGACAATTTATTCGTTTCATCTCAATTCTGTTGATTGCTCAATTCTGAATTGATGAAGAGGTTAATCATGATCTAGGGTTAATTTATTGATGGATTAATTATATGATCTTTATTTAATTTGTGTTTGAATACTTTAATTGATATCTCTTGTAACCTATAACTGCAACTACGATTATAATTGCACATAGAATAACTTAAGAGAGATCTAATATATTTTAGGACACTTTCACACACACCTAATCGTTCGCTAAGACATTAGTAACGGTTAGGGGGCCGCACACTCGCTCGTTTGACAATAATTTAGGTACTTGTTGCATGAGAGATCAACCTGGTTCCATAAATTATTCTACTCTAAGCCGCGAGAGCGGTGAGAACTTAATATTGATTAGCGTTGCTCAATTAAATAATTATCATGTGATTAAGCCTGATCAACAAGAAATCTGATTACCCCGTAATCAATTCATGTTCCCTATCGTCACTAATTAGAAAGAACACCGTTTTTCCCCGTTTTATGTCCAAAAATCCAAATTTCGCACAATTGCATTTTATTTATTTTTTATCTCTGAATTTAGTTAATACCTGATTCCCTTCTCCGTCCCTGTTGAGACGATACTCGTACTTAAATCATATATTACTACAAATTTTTTAGTGCGAGAAAACTCACATCACTCCTCTATTGAGATTTTCCATCATTCACATCATAAAGATGGTTAGAAGCATTAGAGAAAGAATCGTGCTTCACAGTTTCACTAACTGCAATACTAGAATTGAATAAGATTTCACAAATCTAAACTCCTCAGAAGAAAATTGAGAAGAATTATCTATGACAGAACTAAATGACTGAGTGCTTAATGAACTTGAACTTTTTTTTGAACACATCTCTTTAAAATTACTACAAGACTTGAAGACAACACGATGATGTTTTATTTTTTAGAAAATATCTTAAATCTTGCAACTTTCTTCTGAGTGCTTTTTAAAATACAGGCCAAACTCTCTTTCTTGACGTTTATTTAAAACATTGCTTTTCGGCTTTTCATAATGTGAGAAATATGACAAGTCTTTTTCCTTAGAAACCTTTTTAGATAGAGACTTCAAAATTTAACCTTGGAAACATGAGAGAAGGTCAAGATTATGCTTGTACTAGGGCATTTTTTTAGAAAAAAATCTCATTCAAAAGTTACTCATTTTGTGCTTTGAAAACATCTCTTTCAATTTTAAAAGATCTGTGCAAGCTCACGGTTTTGCGAATGATGTTTGGAATATAGATACTATCAATTTTGGGACTTTTAGAAGTAGACGGTTCTTCCCTTAAGGACACGGTTTCACTCGCATCACTATAGATCGAATCATAGTCACTAGAAAGAGGAATTTTTCTTGTCTTGTAATTATCATTCAATTCTGTATAGTTAAAAGAGAAGTTCGCCCCGTTTTGTCTCTTTTCTCTTGTTCTAGGCACTAGTTTCTGATGCTATGAAAAAAGACATCAATTTAGTTAGTCCTAAGCTCATGTACTGGATATCATACCATTGACGTGATGTCACCTTCTTTTGAGTGACACGAGTTTTGGAATCCAAAGCCTTCTTTCGGTTGAGAATTCAGTATTCTTACATTGATTTAGAAAAAATAGTTTAATTGGTTTGACCTCTTTTGACAAGGATGTCCTCCATATATTTGATCATGGAGTATAATATCTTGCATTCCTCTTGAATGGTTTTAAAAAAATTGACATTCAGTTGCTTAGATAAGTCCCATTTTTTCTTTTGAGTTTTCTACTTTAAACTCAAGGTCAATGATCTCATTCCAAGCATTAGTTAACGTAGCATAAGCCACGATTCTTCCTTGAGTGTTTTTAGGACACTTTCATTATTAGCTAATCGTGCTTCTATTCTTTTAATTGACTTATTCTTTAATCGTGGAAAAGATTTTATTCTGTAAATAACGTAAGTGATCAGTGCAAATAGAACTTGAAGTTTTAACCTCGAACTCACCAAAAGATTTAACGCATTGATTGTCAAACAATATTGAGGAGCTTGAGTAAGCATCCATTTTTTTGACCTCCTTTGATATGGACAATGAACTCAAAGTTTGTATGTAAGAATTCCAAAATGAGATATAACTTAGTCAAGTCAAAAGAATTAGCAAAGCTTTCTAATCTATTTTACTAATTGTTTTATGTTAAGATTTAAAATCAACATCCTTGAATTCGGATGAAATTCAAACATGTGACATCTTCTTTGTGATCGACAACATCATTTAAATAATAATCTCCTAATTAAAAAACTCTTGATAACTAAAAAAATAAACAACAATGCTTGTTATACTCATCTCTTATACCCACATTTGTGAAGATTTTTTTTATTTATGAGTTCTGTTTACAAACAAAATATGTTTGAATATACTTAGAAAAAAATAAGACCTTTGTGAACGAAATTTACAAACACTAAGAGCCCGTTTGGTAGCACGAAAATCGGCTGATTTGGCTGATTCTGCTGAAATTTATGAAGTTCTGGCTGGAGTGGCTGCATTGGCTGATTCTGCTGATTCAAGAAAAAATTATTTTTAAAATATATTTTATTAATAAAATAAAGAAAAAATTATATGTAAAAATAGCTAAAATGGTCTAACTTCAGCCAATACAGCCAGAAAAGTATCTTCAACCTTACTTTTTCTGCTTACTACATAATTCAGCGCACGAAAATAAAAGTTACGTGTTTGGTGAAAAAGTTGGCTGATAAGCCTATAAGCCGAAAAACAATATCCTCAAACGGCCTCTAAAACTTCACAAACAGATCATAAAAGTGGACGAGTGTCTGTGCGGCTATATGCGCCGCCCTATACAACCTTTCCCAATAAATTTTGAAATTTCTTCTCTACTCCGTATTTGCTAATCTTTTACGGCGTCGTGTTTCTCAATAGATTTCGGAATTCACTTTAACAATAACGCTTCATCGATTCTCATACGGCGTCGTGTTTCTTCTCCATTTGCTAATCTCTTAACCGTTTTTCTGGCCTCGAATTTTAGACTAAAATTTCGATTTCCAATGTATATAATTTGATCTGGTATTATTTTTGTTCAGTTCTTGATTTTTGGATGAGAGTTGTGGAATTAGGTTATCTTTTTGTATACCTCCGATTCTACCATTATATCCGCTTTTACAATCACCAGTTCGAGACTAAGTTAGTTGGTGGTCTGCTCGGGATAAGGCCAGTCTTCCAGCTTATAAGAAGTTATTAACATCTGGAAGTGAATTGAATGCTTTGTAGCAGGATCATCATCTTATGCCGCTAGCATCTGGAATTAAATTGAATGCTCTGTTCTGGGATTATCATCTTATGACGCTTTTGAACTCCAGGAGCAAAATTTGTTTCTGAAATGGAAGCGGCTGGCTCTTTGCAACTTCCGCATTATCTGGGAGTTCGAAAGAACCAGATTCCCTATCAACGGTGGCCGGTATTGATATTGTAATTGTCCGTAATTCTTAACTGTTCCATTCTAGAGTGTGATTAAATTGCCTTGTTTTTGCTACAGAATGAGATTGGGGGGAGCAGGTTGCGAAGCTCTAGCAGTAGACTGCCACCATTTCCTATTGTATGTTTCTTTACTCTGTTGTTATGATGAGACATTCAAGGGCTATTATTTGGTGATGTATTTTTTATCATGCTATGATTCAATTGTTCCAATGAGAACATTTCATTCTTCATTGTTCATTGTCATAGGACGATTTGGCTTGTGTAGTCTCTGAATTATCAGCCCTCTTTTTGGTTTGGTTAAAATGAACCACTTTATCAGTGGTTCACATTCTTGTAAAGCATACCACGTAACCTGTGGCTCACATTCTTGTAAAGCACTCATTAGTCCATCTCAAGTTTTAGCTTTGTCAGTGATTCAGTGTTATAGATGCACCATTAGCTTGATAGCTAGTACAGTATCATATTTACTGTCTCCAAGTCCTGAAATTAATGGATGTGAACTCATGGTGGAAGTGTGAAACAATGGGAGGAATTAACAATCACTTCATTTAGTGATTAGTTCTTACATAGAATCATAGCATAGGTGTATATTGTGGGCATGTATTTTCACTATACCCAAAGAGGCCAATTCGTCATATTTTTTATGCTACTATCTTATTTGTTCAAAAAATCATTCTTTTAGGTCTTAGTGTCTTACTCAATATTATTTATTTATATGCAGGCTGACGTTCTAATTTGTATTTTCAGAAGCAGGATTATTGGAGTCTTCATCTTTCAAAGGCTTTACAAGCAGAGAGAAATGTTATTTTGTATAGAAACAATAGGTTTCGGTGTAGTTCTTCCTTAAGACCAGGACAGCCTGTTGACACTACGTCTATAAAGAATGCTGTTATATGTGTTACAAGGTAATTCTTAACTTGCGTTGTTTTAGATGCACGATGATATTTGCATTAAAACACAAAGATTATACTTTTATGTTTTTAATCTTTATTTTTCATTTTTAAATACTCCCTTCGGTGGTCCTTTAAGTTTGAGGCAAGGGGAAGTGGCAGCAAGTCTAGAGAAAAGATGAATTGTGTGGTTGATATTAATGTTTTTAAGTACGATAAGTTTTGGGTCACACAAATAGTAAAATTTGACCAAATATAATATGGTAAAGTTCTGGGATGAACTAAAATGAAAAAATGGGACAAACATACTGGGGCAGAGAGAGTCTACTTTCATGTTTATCTCGACATTGTTTTAGTTTAATGCCTGTGTTTACTGTTTTATTGTTTTGGTGGTAAGATTTGCTCATTTAAGCTTCAACTTAACTGAGTCTTGGCTACTAAACATTTTATTTATCTCATAGTCACCCCTGTCCCTTCCCCCTTTACATTTTATCTTATCTTATCTTTTTATCTTTCTTATCTGTTTGAACCCCGATTTCATGTTAGCCGACCTCAAACTTTTTTGGGACTAAGGCTTGGATGTTGTTGTATAGTCACCCCGTTCCCTCCCCCAAATTTTATTCGATTAATGACTCGATTCATTCAGATCATACAATTGGTTACAAAGCTGCCCTCTTATCCTCAAGTTGATACCAGCTGTTGGAGTTATTGCCTTTGGGCTATGGGGTTTGGGACCAATGTTGCGCCAAAGTAGAAACTTATTCCTCCGTGTATGTCATGCTATTGAGTTTTTCTTCTTGTGCTATTTTGAAATTTGTGGCTTAGTTTTTCTTCTATAATTTGCAACAACCTATCTACTGCAATATCTACAGAAAAGTGATAGTAGTTGGAGCAAGAGTAGCACATATCATGTTATGGCCTATTATCTTCAACCTATGGTGCTGTGGACTGGAGTGATGCTTGTCTGCAGGTCAGCTACTATAGTTGAGAATATAGATCTCGATGTCTCGTTTTGTAACATTAATGGTCTGTTTGGAACTCGGAAAATGCTAGGGCATGAAAAATGGAGAAAATATGGTAGAAAAGAAAAGGCGGGATAAAAGAATAAGCTTTGCTTTGAGCTCAATAAATCAATTTCAGACATTTGTTCAAACTCATTCTTTAAATATTTCTTATATAAAGAATTACGTAGAACATGTCAAGAAATCATAACGCATGTATAGTTTTTAAAACCTTAATGAAATTTGATTGTCCTTTGTGTTTTTCTTGTAAAACCAAACATAGAAATCTTTTTCTCTGGTATCCCCCCTCCAATCATATTCGAGCTCCAAGACATAGCCTCAATGATATGATGACTAAAGAAAATAGAAATGATTTCTTCTCTTTTACTTTAGATTGTGGGTTCAACTAAAGAACAGTTATGGCTATTAAGTTTTGTACAGAGTAGTGGATCCCATGGTTCTTCCAACAGAAGCTAGTCAAATTGTAAAAGAACGGCTTCTAAATTTTGTGAGATCGTTGTCAACAGTGTTGGCATTTGCTTATTGTTTATCAAGGTGAGTATCGAAGTTTCTTCTAAATTGCTAACAAATTTGTTTACATACAGCCCTTCTGTTGCTTTGTAATAATTTAGATAACTGAAATTGCTGCAAAATTGCTAATAATTATAGTTCTTCATTAACCTTGGACACAGTGTATTACAACAGTCACAGAAGTTTTTCATGGAGACAAATGACACCTCCGATACCAGAAATGTAATTCTTAAGCTTCACCTTAATTTATACTAAGTTACTAACTTTACCATTTTATTATTGTTTTGACAAGCAATATGGAATTTTAACTTCTTAACATGAGAGATTTAGAGGTGAGGTGATGAATGTGTAGCTTTACACTATGCATTCACTTGCAGATGGGCTTCCAGTTTGCTGGAAAAGCTGTATATACTGCTGTGTGGGTTGCTGCAGTGTCATTGTTCATGGAGTTGCTAGGTTTCTCTACTCAGAAGTGGTTAACTGCTGGAGGACTTGGGACTGTTTTGCTAACTCTTGCTGGTCGTGAGGTGTATAAACCGTGTATTTCAATATTTAATTCTTAACTCTTGTTTTCCCAAACACCGGTGTTAACCAAATTCTTTTGACATTCAGATCTTCACAAATTTCCTGTCAAGTATAATGATACATGCAACCCGACCTTTTGTATTGAATGAATGGATTCAAACAAAGATTGAAGGTTATGAAGTTTCTGGAACTGTCGAGGTTTGTATACGGACTATTTTTTATTACAAACTTAATCACTCAGGTTGTGTTTGCAACACGGAAAATGGTTGGTAAACAAAAAAGATGCAAATGGTTTTCTGATATTCGCTTTTACCTGTGAAAATACAGATGAAAAATCGGATTCAATAAAAAGTTTTAAAAAGTTTTTATTTTAGATTTCTTAGTTTTTATATGATGTAATTATAGAAGTATAATAAAATGAGTTTGAACAAATATCTACTATGGACTGGTTGAGTTTGACCCTATTTTATTCTATTTTACCCCACATTTTATTGCCTTCCGAATTCCCACTATATTTTATTTTCTTTCCCTGGCATGTTATGAGTTCCAAACATAGCATTAACAGAATGAAAAAAGAGTAAGAGGAGTGGGGAACTTCTTTTTCTTCTGTATTGTATTATTTCCAGCTTTTAGAGTCTATGATGTCTCTCCAACACACAGTTTTCTTCTATATGCCCATTTCTTTGAAATGTTAAGAACACTTTTTCACCATCATTTGCATCTCCATTCATTATTAATGGCAGCATGTGGGTTGGTGGTCACCAACAATTATAAGAGGTGAAGATCGTGAAGCTGTTCATATACCAAACCACAAGTTTACCGTTAATGTTGTGAGAAATCTCACCCAGAAAACTCATTGGCGGATAAAGACTCACCTTGCGATCAGTCATTTGGATGTCAGTAAGATTAATGTAAGCACAAGTATGTAACTCTGAGGTATGGTTTCTAAGAATAGAAAGATATGCTTACAAATCTAATCAAGGTTATGTTTTTGTTCTGATTCAGAACATTGTAGCTGATATGCGGAAAGTTTTATCAAAGAATCCTCAAGTAGAACAAAAGAAGTTGCACAAAAGAGTGTTCCTAGATGATATTAATCCTGATAACCAAGCTCTCTCGGTTAGTTAAGCATTTTAGCCTTTTTATCATGTAATGTTTTGTGACTGCCTAACTGGTGCGTTGGTTATTCTGCTTTTTAACACCGAAAATGAATTTCTTTTCTAAAACTTTTGTGCTCTTAAGGTGCTATTTCAAATTGATCCATCTGTATTCTCTTGAACACTGACTGGTTCTGACCTATCATTGTTATTATGGGTTTCATCCTTATTTTGGTGCTCAAGGCATGTTTGGTTCCCAGAAAATACTCAAAGTAGCAATGACAGGAGGAAATTGCTAAAGGACTTCTTTTCGTGTTTGGTATTAATCTATCTATCTATATATATATATATATATATATATATATATATATATATAGAGAGAGAGAGAGAGAGAGAGAGAGAGAGAGAGAGAGAGAGAGAGAGAGAGAGAGAGAGTTTTAGTCTTATATAGTACTGAGAAATAAATAAATAAATAAATAAGGAGTATGAGCAAATATCTGAAAAAGATTCATTGAGTTTCAAACTATCTTTTATTTTCCCACTGATTTTCTTTGCTTCTGAATGTTTTCCCTTTTTTCCCTAGGATGTTAAGATGTTCCTAGTTCTGAAATGAATCTAGGAGTTAATTCTTACTCAACCTTCGATTTGCAGATCCTGATATCTTGCTTTGTGAAGACCTCACATTTTGAAGAGTATCTCTGTGTCAAGGTGAGCACATACATTCTTGCTAGCAATACAAATGTAGGGGGGATAGTATGAGGTAAACTTATAATTATATTAACTTGACACAAACCTAACAGGAAGCTATATTGCTGGATCTTCTGAGAGTAATACGGCACCACCGAGCCAGATTAGCCACCCCAATCCGAACTGTTCAGAAGATATACAGTGATGCAGATCTGGACAACATACCCTTTGCAGCAGACCCAACATTCAACCGTGGGGCTGCCTCAACCCGCCCATTGCTGCTCATTGAGCCAACAAAAGTCAGATCAGTGCGTGAGGAAGATCACCCCAAGGGGGAGCGCAGTCCAACCCCACCTGAGAGCAAAGCTGTAGAACCTAAAGTGAATGCCATGTCACCAACACCTGACTCAACAAAATTTGAGACAAAGGTTGGACAAGTTAAAACATCCTCAAAACCGGTCTCCTCTAAATCTGACCACAATTCTTCAACAAAGCCACCGCTGCCACCACCACCACCACCATCATCAAAGCCTGGCATGGAAGAGAACATAGTACTTGGTGTTGCTCTTGAAGGTTCAAAGAGAACCCTTCCTATCGAAGAAGGTATGGAAGCACGAACAGAAGAAGTCAAGGAATTGTCCATGTCTCGTAGTAGTAGTAGTGGTATTAATGGTTCAGCAGTGTCTTCTGAAAAGGATAAACAACAGAGTCAGCGTTCTTCAAGTACTGCTGATCAGTTGGGTGGTCAGCTGGAATGATTTTAACGTACTGACCTGCAACTCCAGGTCAATAGCTTTATGACCATTTTTGTGAACTATTTTGAACATCACAAGCTAATGGTACTGACATTCTTTTAGCATCATGTGGTTTATTGTTTTCTTAGTTAAGTGGACATGTTATAATTTATGACAATATGACATGCTTTCACAATCCGGTTTCTCACAACAAAGAAGCTTGCCCGTAGCATTTGTAGAAGACTGATTTAACGCCATATTCTAAGGCTATTTCTGTCCTCCATTTGTTATTATTTATTCTGATTCTAGTCATATAAAAAGGATGGGTTCATATTAGGAAAACCTATTAAAAAGGGAAAAGGTGCAAATAAGCCTTCGAACTAATCGAAAAAGTGCAAATCACCCCTTTTATATGAGACTCTGTCTGACCGTCGTCATTTATGGCAGTTACCAGTGGAATTTTTGATGAATTTTTTTGAACATCTTCTTCACTAAGTCTAGTTTACCCATATCAAATTTCAGGTTAAAATTAAACCGGGAAGACAATCAAATGATTTTCCTAAATATACTGTGCTGTTTAACTGTGCAGTTATCTTCAAACATGTATTTGACTCCCTTCACGATTGAATTTTTAGCTAAAATTTGATATGGGTAAACTAGAATTAGCTATGTTTGGCAGGCATAAGTTCTTGCCTTCTAGCTTTTGTACTATTTAAAAAGTCTTTAAAAGGTTCTAGTTGTATGTTTGGCACACCAGTTTTTAGAGCTTTTACAAAAATAAAAGATCTTTTTTGAGAAGCTACAATGAGTAGCATCTCAGGTAAGTCCGTAGCTTCTAGCATTAATTAGTCCTAACAGCTTGTATACCAAACAGAGCTAAATCAAATAGTCGGCTTTTTACCAAACAACTACTGCCTTTTCTTTTTAAGATCTTTTCAGTCACTAAAAGCTAACAGTTACTAAAAAGCTTATAAAAGTATCTTTTCAGCTAGTTGTGCCAAACATACCCTTAATGAAGAAAATGCTCAAAAAAAAATCATCAAAAATTTTTACGGGGAACCGCCTCAATTGGCGACGGCCTGACATAGTCGACTATAAAAGGGGTGATTTGTACTTTTTCGGTTAGTTCGAGGGCTTATTTGCCCCTTTTCCCTATTAAAAACATTATTACTAGTATGTTTTAACAAAGCAGTTAAGTAAGAGCATTATTCAACAAAATCATCCTATTGAAATGATTTTTGTGTCACCAAACAAGCTCTCAGTCTCTTCACAGGTTTTTAAGGAGTTTTCTATCCCCAATTTGAGCACTAGTGGGTGTCAACATATGTTTTTCCGAAATCCAAATTTACATTCATTATTAATTTATTACTTCGTATTATTAAGGCAATGTATTGGATTTAGTGGTAGAATTTTAGAAGTCTATGGAATTCAAAAGTTTAGGTATATGGATTTTAAAAAGTAAATAACAAATCCAACAAAGTTCAGGTATATTCGATACAAACTTTTAAAATGATTTGAAATCCCGGTGTATTGATTTTTTTTGAAACCCATGAACTTGAATAATCATTCATTTCGGTGGATTTGAAAACCCTTCGTATGTTGTGAAATGAAGAAGATGCAGGATAAATTTATGAGATATATATATATATATATATAGATAAAAAACCTCTAAATTACTTCTTAATATCTGATTATTTTCTGAATTTCTGAGTTCCATTTACAAATGATTGATCACCCTATTTATACTAGTTGGCAAGTAGATGAATCATAAAAGAATGATTCTACAAAATCTGCTGGCAACATTAAACTTAGCCATCTGTCTATTACAAGGATTGGAATTGGATTAGTGTCCTGATAACAAGGATGAACAATTCACACTTGTTATTCTCAGGAATTTACAACACTCCCCCATGAATGTTCATCCTTGAATAGGTATTGATTATATTAAAATTTATTTATAAAAATAATTAAAGTTAAGGGGTAAGATTTGTGACTTACAATGTCATTGTATTTGGATGTACCGTCTCGTTAAAAACCTTATCAGGAAAAACCCAGTGGGATAAAAACCTGATGAAGGAAAAAAGAGTGCAGTGCATTCAAATACGCCCCCTGAATTTAGCATAAATTATGAAGACGTCACATGCCGGTTTTCTGTACAAATTCTATGAACTTCTTCGGGGGTAAAGATTTGGTGAAGAGATCGGCCGGATTTTCACTGGATCTGATTTGTTGAATGTTGATCGTCCGTTCTTTCTCCAGATCGTGAGTAGAGAAGAATTTTGGTGATATGTGTTTTGTTCTGTCACCTTTGATGTAGCCTTCTTTAATCTGAGCTATGCACGCAGTGTTGTCTTCGTATATCACAGTAGGTTGAATAGTAATAGGCTTCATACCGCATTCATTTTGGATGTGTTGAATCATAGATCGCAACCATACACATTCTCTTCCGGTTTCATATAGTGCAATTAACTCAGAATGATTTGATGATGTAGCTGTCAATGTCTGCTTCATAGATCTCCATGAGATTGCGGTGCTACCATAAGTAAATACGTACCCGGATTGTGATTTCGCCTTTTGAGGATCTGATAAGTATCCATCGTCTGCATATCCGAATAAAGTGGCTTTTGCATCTTTGTGGTAGAATAGGCCGAGATCAGCTGTACCACGGAGACAACGGAATATGTGCTTGATCCCGTTCCAATGACGCCTTGTTGGGCATGAGCTGTATCTAGCTAATAAATTTACAGAAAATGCAATATCTGGTCTAGTATTATTAGCTAAATACATTAAAGCTCCAATAGCACTCAGATATGGTACTTCAGGACCGAGTGTTTCTTCGTTGTCTTCTCGGGGACGGAATGGATCATCGTGTATGTTGAGAGATCTAATCACCGTTGGTGAAGTCAACGGATGAGCTTTGTCCATATAGAATCTCTTCAAAACTTTCTCGGTGTAATTGTATTGATGGATGAAAATTTCATTCTTCAAATGCTCAATTTGAAGTCCGAGACAAAATTTGGTTCTCCCGAGATCTTTCATTTCAAATTCTTTCATAAGATATTTTGCAGTATTTTCAATTTCATCGGGAGTTCCAATAATGTTTAAGTCATCAACATATACTGCAATTATGACGAATCCCGAATTTGATCACCGAATGAAAACACATGGACTAATCGGATCATTCTTGTATCCTTCTTTGAGAAGATATTCACTGAGACGATTATACCACATTCGTCCAGATTGTTTTAGTCCATACAATGACTTTTGTAGTTTAATGGAAAACATTTCTCGTGGTTTCGAGTTGTAAGTTTCAGGCATTTTAAAACCCTCCGGGAACTTTCATATAAATGTCTGTATCGAGTGAACCCTATAAATATGCAGTCACTACATCCATTAGGCGCATTTGCAGCCTTTCAAAAACAGACATGCCAATGAGAAACCTTAATGTAGTTGCATCAACTACCGGAGAATAGGTTTCTTCATAATCAATTCCCGGCATTTGAGAAAACCCTTGGGCAACAAGTCGGGCTTTATATCTTACAATTTCATTTTTCTCATTGCGTTTACGCACAAATACCCATATAAAACCCACCGGTTTTACGCCTTTTGGCGTAGGGACTATCGGTCCAAAAACATCACGTTTTTCAAGTGATTTTAATTCAGCCTGAATAGCTTCATTCCATTTTGGCCAATCGTGTCGTTTCCGACATTCTTCAATAGATGTTGGCTCATTGTCAATTTTTTCATTCATAACACTTGTGGCAACGGCATAGACAAATATCTCATTAATATCAATATCTTTTCGATTCCATTGTATTCCAGTAGAAACGTAATTTATTGAAATTTCATAATTATCAACGTTTCTATCATTATCTAGAATATCTTCCTCGTTTAAGGAAGTTGGATCATCATTTGAGATGTCTGTTTTATCAATATCATTTCCTATGCCAGAATTTTCAAATTGTTCATTTTCTTGTTCAGAAGGATGAACTTCTTTGGCATCACAGATCAATTCCCGCCTTTTAATTTTTCTTGGTTTTATATCTTTTGATCCAAGTGGCCTGCCACGCTTTTTGCGTATAGAAGATTCATTCGCAAGAGATTTTTCAGAATTCTCTGCTGGGATTTCGATCCTGGCAGGGAAATTCATGGCAAGAATATGTGACTTTGTCACTTTCTTTGTATCTGTGAATGCATCAGGCAACTGATTTGCAACATTTTGTAAATGGATTAACTTTTGCACCTCTTGGTCACATATATTTGATCTTGAATAAATATGTGATAATCCTGTTGCATTCCATGTAATTTCTTTCGTACTTGGGTCTAATTTATTATTTTCTCCCCCTAAGGTTGGGAACACTGTCTCGTTGAAATGACAGTCTACAAACCGTGCTGTGAATAAGTCACCAGTCATCGGTTCGAGATATTTTATTATTGAGGGAGATTCAAATCCAACATAAATTCCCAACCTTCTTTGAGGACCCATTTTTGTACGATGAGGTGGAGCAATCGGAACATAAACAACACAACCAAGTATCTTAATGTGTGATAAGTTTGGCTCTTGTCCAGTAACTAATTGCATTGGGGAATATTCATGATATGCAGTCGGTCTAAGCCGAATTAAATTTGATGCATGTAAAATAGCATGTCCCCAAGTTGATGAAGGTAAATTACACTTCATTAATAATGGTCTAGCGATTAATTGTAATCGTTTAATCAATGATTCAGCAAGACCATTTTGTGTATGGACATGAGCAACAGGGTGCTCCACATCAATCCCAATCGACATACAATAGTCGTTAAATGATTGGGATGAAAATTCTCCTGCATTATCAAGTCAGATTCTTTTTATAGAATGATCCGGAAAATGAGCTCTTAATCTTATGATTTGAGCAAGGAGTTTAGCAAATGCTAGATTTCTAGTCGATAAAAGACTAACATGTGACCAACGTGTTGAAGCATCAATCAACACCATAAAATATCGAAATGGTGGGACTATCGGCCTACAAATATCTCCTTGAATTCTTTCCAAAAATGCAGGTGATTCAGTTGTAATTTTGTTTATAGAAGGCCTGATGATCATTTTGCCAAGAGAACATGCCTTACAAGGAATATTACTTGATAATGGAATCCTGATATTCTTTAATGGATGTCCAAGTGAAGTCTTAATGATTTTATGCATCATTACCTGGCCTGGGTGACCTAAACGGTCATGTCACAACATGAATGTTTTCTGATCATCTAACTTTGTGTTAGAAACCAAATTTATTTCGAATGGACTAATATGAGTGAAATATAGTCCTGAGGAATATGCTGGCATT